GATAATTAAACTTGTCTTCATGTCGGTTTCAACCAGCCATCACAGAACCTGCACTGGGATTATGACTGCCATCGCGATGTTTGCCAATGGCGGCTGCGGCTAGCTGCGGCGCAATCGATGGCATGAGCCAGCGGCTTGCCGAAACTTTGGCCGAAACAATGCTCCGTACGCGAAAACAGTATGTATATGAGAAATTATAGCTACATTATCAGCCAATATCCCAGTGGGATAATGGCAAGGACAGACTTTAATGAGGAGCAGTGTACGAGAACCAAAACAGGCACTCCACATCCCATTTCAGCACTGTGAGTCATTATTTGTAAATGACAAACAAATTCGCCGTGACGTTGGAGAATAAGCCGCCTGATGAGTCTCTTACAGACGAAACGTTGCGCCAAACGTCGTGGCCATACCATCGCTCTCTAACACTCTGTCTTATCCGCTTCGAAATCGCTCCCGAAACTTTGGCCGAAACAATGCTCCGATGAGTAAGGGAACACCGACTTGCCATCGCCCTGAATTTGTTAGCGTTATCCTGAGCAGCGGCGTGTTCACTTTGAACTCAGTCAGTAAGTCCCTAATTGGTCTCGATGAGGTCTCCTATGTAAGAGCTCGATGTGCTATCCAGAAGAAGCGCACGGCGGTGTCGACTTTGTTTGTAACAATCCCGACTCGATCATCGTCTCTTCCTCAAATACCCTCGTAGTGTGGCGCCAGTACTCTGCATAACAGAAGTCACCATGGGCATATCTCACAAATGCTGGCCTTTGATACTCACGTTGTAGTGCAGTTGAGGTAAATGTCCGCCTTGTCCGAGTCCGTGTAAATGTTCTTACAAACAAAGCGGGACATAGCTGGCCGGACTCAAATAGTTCCAGAAAGCACATCATCTCTCAAACACGACTCTCCTGCGCCAAAAGAACGCCCGGGAAGGTGGTGAGCAGAGTGATTAATCTTTGACCCGTTCACGGATCGACAATATGGATTATGGCATGAGGCATGCTGGCAAGAACACGAAAGAACTCTTGCGATCGGGTTCTGGTGACTCCGGTACCAGTCGTGGACCACACGGTGCATGATATCTAGGAGGTTTGAGGGTAGGTGTAGCAAAGACAATGTTTTCCCGAGGGCAAGAGGTAAGGGTATTCTGGGATACAGAGGGTGCGTAAGAAAAGGATATATGTGGATGTGAGGCATTGCTCACCTTTCCACCACGATCGCAACGCCTCATGCCTCAGGCCTGGAGCTCTAGTACTTATGTACTTAAGTCCTGTCATGTCCTCCTCCTCCTGTCTCGCACTGTATATATCACACCGCCGCGCGTTCGTTTCCGATTTACTATTGGTTAGCGTGAGGCGCGACTTTGGAAGTATGAGTCGACATTGGGCGTCGAAATGGCGGAAAGCCAAAAGTCTAGGTAGCTGATATAGCCAAGTAGACTGAGATATAACGGTGATCACTAGGATTCAGTTTTGAAAAGCCTTCCAAAGCTTTTTGAATCCAGAGACTTTCTTTTGGCCATTGTATGGACATAGGATTTTGCCTAGTTGCTCGTACGTGTGGTCTGTGTCTCGTGGAGACTGGGCAGCAGGAATGAGCAGACCAAGACCGGAACATGAATGGCCGGGTGCAGAGGTAAAGACGCCGAATGAAGAGTAGGCGTCGGAGTAGTGTGGAGGTGGTGAAGAAAGATATAGCTCGATGGATTGCTCGATGTCTAGAATAGCTAGCTGATGATGATTCCATCATCAAACTCTTCAAGGTTATACCCAACGTTCAGCACGAATTGGAACTCAATCGTTGCTTCGTCCTCGACTAGAAATTACCAAAGTGTGCGTTTTTGCTTTTGTCGGACATCGCAGCTTGACGGCATCTTGAACCCATAGAAACCTAGAGTCCAATCCAGTCAAAAACATCCTCAACAGGCACGGATAATGCAGAAGCGCTATAGTGCCGTATTTAGTTCTATTTAGGGTTAGGGTCAGTTCTACAAGCGCCCGGTATGAAGAAGCGCTCAGCTGCCTTGCCTTCACTTGCACTACGCGTTCTCGGTCTTCATACAAGCTTTGAGCCCAGGGCCCCAAGAGCTTTACGATGCCAACTTGTCACAGAAAATTGACTCCAGTATCACAAAGATGAGGATTTTATTAGGAATGACGTCAAGTCCCAGGATCAAACCTTCTCTCGCATCTCGCACTTCCTTAACCAAAACCCCCATGTCGAACGAAACCCCTGCTCCTCAATCTCTCACAGAATGGGCTCAGTCTCATTTCACCGCCTTGTTCGAACACAACACTACCTCTGCCTCTAACGACGCTCAAGATGATCCCACACCTGATCAGAGTCCGTCCCTCGATTCCCAAATCCAAGCAATGTTCTCCCCAAACGCGCAAATCTTCATGAACCATACTGGTCCTCTTTCCGTGGGCGATTTCACCAAGCAGATGGGGCAGGCCTTTGGGACGAATCAGACCAGTGTGGAGTGGAAGGAGTCTTTTGAGGTCGATGATCAAGCTCAGGATAAGACAGAGGAAGGAAAGGTAAGCTCACATTCATAACTTGCTTCATCTTAGCTTGATCAATCTATCGTCCTCATCCTTAGACCGGTATCTTTGCTGGATACCTCATCGTCACCCGCACGCTCAAGTTTAGAATCAGAGCTGCTCCCGCAAAGAACTATACCACTATCTCGTTATCTGCAAAGTGAGTTCACATTGTTTTCGCACCCAGATTCCTTCAATCTTTTCGTTATCACTTCGCTATGTAAAGTACTGATCTATACCATCTCACCCGTAGGATCGCCCACGAACCAAATTCAGTTACTGGATCCTCGGGGAATGGAGACGACAGGCGAATTGTACAGTTGTTTTATACGTCAGGAGTGAAGGCTGCGCCGGTGCATTTACAGGGTATAGCGTGAATTTTGAAGAAAACTAGTATACATATCTGTGGCGTGTAAGTTAGTATGGATTCTAGAATTTACGACTATTTAGGTCTATATAACATGCAAGGGACGAACCGAATAAGAACAAAGAAGAACAGGCTAGAACAGGGCCCCACTGGAAACAGGTGATATCGCCACAGGAAAGATGATTTCCCGGAAGCCGCGCGACATTTTGGAAATTATAGACCGCAACAGGAAGAGGAGCATTTATTTATTTATTTCCTTCTTTCTTTCTTTTCTCTTCCCTTCCTTTCCCAATACTTACCACTCCCAATACCATGACCAAACTCATCGTTGTAACTGGCGCTACCGGACAGTAAGTTTTCCCCTCCCAAAACGAATGTACTTCCCTACCTCGATGCATTCGATTCATTCGAATTCACAGACAAGGAAGCTCCGTCATCAACTTCCTGCTCAAAGAACCCTCCGGAACCTTCTCCATCCGCGCAGTAACCCGCAACCCCCAATCCGCCGCCGCGCAAGCGCTCTCCGCAAAGGGCATCGACGTCGTCCAAGCCGACCTCTCCTCCCTCGCCCAAGTCACCGCAGTCTTCACCGGCGCCTGGGGCGTCTTCGGCCTCACGCAGTTCTACGAGCACGGGTACGACGCGGAGCAACTCCACGGTTCCAACATCGTCGCTGCCGCGCAAGCAGCAGGTGTGCAACACATCGTGTGGTCCACCGTCGAGGGGCGCGACGGCGAGTGCGGGGCAATCAGCTGGAAATCGAAGGCGCAGATCGAGGATATGGTTATGAAGTCGGGGATCCCGTGGACGTTTGTGTACATCCCGATGTATTATGAGAATTTCTGGACAAGCTTTTTCGCGCCCACGTATGAGGAGGAGAAGGGGTTCAGCTGGAGCGTGGGGTTCCTCCCGGATGTGCCGGTGTTTGCGTTTGCGGTGGAGGATTTGGGGGGGTGGGTTGTTCCTGCGTTTAGGGAGCCGGAGAATTGGAATGGTGCGTTACGCGGTCTTGTTGTGAATTTCCCTTCCCCCCTCTTCTCCCTTCTCCTCCCTCTCTCTCCCTTCCCCTCCCTCCAAGTCAAATTTTCTTGTTCCGACGTTCTGATGTCCTATTCCGATTCTGATTCTGATCACTCACTCGCTTGTTTCCTTGGCTTGGCTATGTTACCCCACTTACCCCACTCACAGGCAAGAAAATCAAGATCGTAGTCGAATACCTCACCCTGCGCGACATCGCCACCCAATTCAGCGAAGTGACGGGCGAGAAAGCGGGGCTCTCCGTCGAACTCACCAAAGAGCAATTCGAAGCCTCGCGCTATGCGGACCACCCAGCTGCAGAACTGATGTATCTGTCTTGGGAGTATGTTATTAGAGCTGGGCCAGAGAGTGGTGTCAGGGTAAGCTCCCCATGCCTCATGATCATGCGTGATCGCTTTCGCTTTCGGCGTAGAACTTGTGGGAGACAGTGTCTTACTGACATCTTTTTTATCTTTTTATCTTTGTTTGCTTTTGCTTTGTAGGACAAGGACCAAACCCTCTCGATATACCCACAGGCGAAGACGTACCGCGAATGGCTGAAGGGGAGTAAGATCATGGCGGATCTGGTGCACAAGTTGAAGGCGGAGGCTGCTGGGAAGGGACTGCAGGGCGTTTAGAACTTGGGAACTTGGGGAACTTAGGACAGGCGCGCCCCAGCATCTTCATCTCTGGACTATTACCTATGCGGCTGTTCTCGAGTCCAACGGGCGTAGTGTGGGTTGATCAGAGTACATACTATGATATACCAGCACCAAACGAGGCATTATTTATTTAACTGCATGCAGTGAGAACGAGAGGCATACTCTTGAAGTTCCTAATGACACGCGTAGATCTTCACCTCAACCGTTTCTCCCGACACAGCTAGCCTGCAGCTAGCTGATTGTGATAGTCTATCTTTTGGAATTACACACAGGGCAGTGAACTGTTTTTTTTGGTCATCCGATATGTCAAAGTTACACCTGAGAGAAGCAGCCATTTGTGCCAGCAAAACTGAACAGGCAGAAGAAGTTTAGAAGAAGAAAAAAAATAGAGCTGAGTAGCTAGCAACTTAGTTCCAATGCGGGGAATCGAACCCCGGGCTGCTGTGTAATCTTAATGGTTGCGTTAATGAAAGACAGCAATGTTAGCCACTACACCACATTGGATTACCTTTCAGCTAATTTGGAGTCCAACAATGTACTCAGGATTGATTTTTACATACCACACCGGGATTCGGTGTTATGCTTATGCATGGCTAAGTATTAACAGTGTTGTGAGACGAGAAGTACTCTTGAAGTTCGCATGGTATGGACACTACTAGTTTGCCTCAATCATGTTTTCCGACAAGCTACTCAGCTAGCAAGCCAGTGATTGTGATACATAGTCATTGCATAGTCATTCTTTTGATATTGTTTAGCAACACAGGCAATAAATTATTTCTCGGACGGACAGCCAACAAAGTTACCGAAGTACCTAGCAGCTGAGAGAACGAACGACTTGGCTAGCAAAACAGTACTGAAAAAAGTATAGAAGCACGACCATTACATAACTCAAGTTCCAAAGCGGGGAATCGAACCCCGGGCTGCTGTGATATACACGTCCTGCCTTCGGTATGAAAGACAGCAATGTTAGCCACTACACCACATTGGAGTACCGATGGTAGAAGTAACATTGTCAGAGAGGTTTTAGATACAAGTGTTTGGTCGCTTTACAAAAAAAGAACATGTTGCCAGGTTGCACAGGTTCATATTTCAAGAGGAAATCAAACCCAGGCCGTTGTGTATTAGAGGTCAAGAATGAAAGCCAGCGATGTTAGCCACTACGTAGTACGCGACATTGGGTATTAGAAATAACAGAAAGAGCTTCTCGAGTTGATGAGTTGCGAGATCCCGCCCAACCGATGGCGAAACCGGCGCACCAGTATGCAATCAAGAAAAAACATTGTCTCCATCCAAATCGGTAGATTTTCAGGAGACTTCGCGTTTGTGGCGCACGCGTCTTGAATTGGACATCAATATTCAATGCCGAGAGAGCCGGAGTCATTCGAAAACAAGCGCCAGCACTGTTCTTTCTTTCTTTCTCTTCTCCGCTTTTCAAAAATCTGGCTTTCAGGCTACCTTTGCCCGTGGCCTCATTAAACCCAAGCATATCTTCTTCTAATTACCTTTATTTTCCCTTCGACGACAATGGATGAAGACCAGCAAGCTCCTCATGTCCCTTCGCGTGAGGGCACAAACAGCTCCGAAGGCGCAAGGCAGAATATGAAACTAGAAAGGCTTGAAGTTGAAGATGAAGACGCAAGAGTAACACGGCTCCGTACGTTTTTTTTTTTTTTGCTACTCGTTTCTTTGTTTCAAAGAAGCTTAGGACATATATCTAGAATCCATCTTCGAAAAACTCAACTCTACCACCTCATCTTCTGGGTTTGTAGGAAACCCACTTGGCATGCCCAACGTCCAATTTGACTTTGGGGAACGCAAGACTTGGGCCGTTGAACCACCTTCTGAGTGTACGTAGGAGTCCTTATCTTTACTGCATTTCGCTCATCTGATTGACGTGCTAGTGATTTTTCGAGTCCAAGCTTTTCTACCTCAAATGGAGGCCTCGAACGTGATATTGACTCAACGTGTTGAAGCAGACCCGCAGAGTGTTGACATGGAACACGTAGAGGACGACGCGGCGCAATACATTGAAATGGTGTGTGTGTGTTCTTTTATTGCGCGTTTTCATGTATATACTCATTGATTTTCCGACATTCTTCTCCTTATCAACTGCCTATCTTTGACGAATCAACTTTATCGCCATCAACTACCGTTACCAACTATGTCTTTGACGCCACACCAGAATCTCGGCCTTGGTGTGTTTGATATGAAACCGAAAGGACAACCTGGGGATGAAGATACCGACATGATCGACTCATCCTCAGCATCTTCATCGTCCTCTGATTCTGACTCCGACTCTGACTCGGATTCTGATTCAGATCTGGACTCAGAAGAGATCCTCTCCTCTTTCATCCCTTCTGGTCTCCTTTCTCGTTCTCCTCCGTCTTTCGACTCTATCAGCTCCGATGGCGAGAAAAAGAAGGCACCTAGAATGATTTGTCCACTACCAAAACGAACTAGGTCGTCAGCGACTCAATCCAGGCCAAATATTGTTGTGCTGAGCGAACACGATTCACCTATGGTGAAAGTCGATTGAGATAGGTTGCTGTCAAGCACTCGATGTATGTATTGTTCATGTACCATCCATTTTTATACACATACAGCTACTTTGGAGTCCAATGAGCATAGTCTGGATTGCCTTGACCGGATACTTACATACCATATCAGGGTTCTTGGCATGAACAATACTTATTTTGCTTCAACCGTGTTTAGATAGGTCAAAATATTACTCAATCGCATTCGAACATTCAAACAATCGATATGCGAAGAAACAAGCCAGAACGGAGGTTCTTGAAACAGGTGGAGTTTACTGCTTGTGAGATGGCTTTACACCTTCGAAGATAGGACATACAAAATCTAGCATGACCTAATTCACTGTAATCATATTTCGAAAGCAACACTGGGAATACAAAAAAAATGCTATTTGTATATTATCCCAGGAAAAAAGCGCGCAATGAAGAAAGAAAACAAAAAAGTCGAAAATCCTAACAAGAGTCAAGAAGGGAGTTCTTTGGCCAAGGTTGTTTGAAATCGCCCTCCCAATTCGTCAGATTGGGGTTTGTGTAGGCTTCAAGATAACTGCGAGAGATAATGTTTTAGCGTTTGCGGAGAGGCAAACAGGAAATGAAACATACGTGTTGATGTAGTCTGCTGTAGGGAAGTCCTGTTTACCATACCGTTAAGCATCTCGTCCAATCGTTGATTAATTTTTCATTTACCTCGGGGTCGCAACCTATGTTGATGTTCTGAGGATCCTGGTAGACTCGTATATAATCCACGCGAAGGTGATTTGGGAACGTTAGGTGCTCAAAGTCCACGACCGCAAAGTTCTCGCTCACTGTCAGTTCGATTAGCATCCGTACGACAGGAGACAAAAAAAGAATAAACTCACTCTGAAAGGTTTATAAAAGCACCGCGATTAAGTGAGTGGAAGGTAAATTTGGGAACGAACAAAGAGGCTTACCCTAGTAGGAAAAACGACGCCCAATCGTGAGCAGTTAGCGCCTTACAGTTGACAGGGAACTTACCCTGGAATAAAGATTTTAAAGTCAGCGCAATGTAATTTTAGAACAGCGGAAGAACTCACCGAGATTTATGATGAGATACTAGTAAAAAAAGTTCGTCATTTGAACAGCAGGAGTATGTAGATACTCACCATTGGTTCTTGGGGGACGGGACGAGCAGCAATCTCTGTAATGGGATCTGCTCCCATACCAGCGACATTGAGGGTCCATGCTGGCGTTCCACTGGATATCCAAGAAATGTACTGGGCAAAGTTTAGTATCTAGAGGATAAATCTATAGATTGCCCACTAACCGCATTATCAAATCCTACGTCGCATCGTATAATAATTCAGCCCACGCCAGAATCCCCCAGCGAATCAAACGTACCTGGTTTGTACTAGAGCGAAATCTCAGCATAAATTCCCCATAGTCGTCTATGATAAACACACACCTCAAATCCATAAGTCGAGTAACAGGGACTTTTTGAAAGTTCGTAACAGTCTTGATTAGTAGTAGTGACAACCGAAGAAGCTTGTTGTAGATCTCCTCCGATATAAGAGTTCAAAGCGGATATCGACGTATTAGGTATAATCAGGTTTTGGGTAGTGTTCAACCAGATATACTTGTCGTTGAAAGGCTAGAGTAATGTTTATTAGCAGTATGTAACCTTAAGAACATCAACCGACTTACTGCCCACTGTGCTGACTGGGAGACTTGCCCTGTCAAAGGTGTTCCAGTGACCTGAATAATGAAGTCAGTAGCGAATTCCTTTTACAAGTGGGATGTAATGGGACGTAACATACCTGAGCTTCAAACATGTCTATTTCGGGGGCACTTCGTCCGACATACGTTCCATCCGAGTGTACAGGTCCGGGATGGCTTTCACCTGCGCATGTGCACCGCGAGAGACGCTGGCCAGGAAGGTACGACAGCGCGCCGTTGACGTTTGAAGCTCCATCGAGGGTGGCAGCTAGAGGCGCGCCGTTGATAGTTTGATTGGGGGCTGTAAAACAGCAGGTTATGATTTGCAAGGCATAAGTAAAGGCTACTAACCTGTTCCAACGTCACAATTATCGTACGTGCTGATCCAAGACGGTGATCAGCTAGAGTAGAAGCTGCACGATGACAATGGAACGTACTATGGCCACTACATGTCGTGATCGTCAGAAAAACGGCGTAAATAAAAATCAAGCAAGGGCTTACCATTCCGTCTAAAGTTGCACCGTAACCAGCCCTGCCCAGATTTCCCAAGGTCTTATCGCAAATCAGTTTATTCCAGTAAACACGGTTGACGATGCAAGTGACATACCCATATCGCAGGCCACTAAAAATAAGAAGGTTAATCTAGGGTATGAAGGGACGAGGATCGACGTACCCTATAAAGGAGAAGAAAATGACATTGCGGATGAGTGAAATAAAAAAGGGAGAACACATCGCCACTCACATCCCGCAACCTGGATAGACCGTATTAGCTAGTGTCCACATTGGATAGAAGGAACTACAGCGTACGTTGTTGATACCGGGAAGCATGACTGACGCTTCAACATGCCCGCCAGTAAAACAAAACTTGTTCCTACAGCACAGCTAAGGCGCCAAACTAATACAATTCTGCACAACGACATACCAGGTTGACATCATCCCTACAATATCAATCAGTTGATATAGCCTAAGATGAAGGAATCTTACTCACCTCCTTGATAGCTGAGGTTATGTGTCTGTTTCTCTTCATATGTTATCACCAGAGATCCGTTGGCGGTTGTGATTGCCGCTGGATCATACCATTCCAAGTTGTTTGTTTCCTAATGAGGTCTAAAATCAACCGTTCACAAAAAGCACCAAGACTTACCCAGTAGTTCAAATTGACTAGTCCGAATGCGTTTAGATAGGAATCGGAATGGGAGAAAACAATAACACTAACCTGCCTAAAGTTGGCCAATCATCATATTCGATCAGTTATCATGACCTTCAGATTCGTGAACGGGACTCACCTCCCAGTACGGGTCATCTCCAGGATAAAACGATCGACCATCAGTGTTGAACTCGTCAGAAAAAACCAGTGTCCATTCCGTCCCATCAGTCAAAGAAGTTTTCGTGCGAGCATCGCTAGGTGTGTCTATGTCGACGAGACCAAAAGGCATAGACGGGACCTGCAGCGATTCCTGCATTAGCTATCTACATCAAGCGTCCCTCGCTACTGTGTAAACATACCTGCCCAGTTCCGTTCGTTTTGGTGTTTAAAGAAGTAACTGTGGAAAACCCTCCTCTCTGTGCGAAAGTAAGCACAGGGTAACCAAGGCTACAAATAGAATTGTAGGGTCAATGAGTGCTTCCCAAGTTATGAGCTGAGCAGACGTACAATAATCCCACCAGAATCACTAAGAGAAACGCCAAACATCCGAGATTGGCAAAAGCTCTACTGGACAACACGAAAGGATGGGCATCTAGTTTCTTCTGGGGTTCAAGAGAATGCAGCGAATCATCCGCT